TGCAAAATAGAGCTTTTCCACATGGAGAAGCTACTTAAAGCAGAGTTCAGTAATGTGCGCATGGAGCCCAGCTCACTCGCCCGCAGAGCACAGCTGTGTGTGAACGCCCGCAGTGGCTGCACAGGCAGCACCAGCCGGAAGCCTGGCTGGAGAGGAGCAAGGTCTCAGGCAGCTGCAGAGTTTCAGCAGGACTGCATGTATTAGTGTAGGTAGCTAGATATTAATAAAGGAAGGAGGCAAAGGGAATCATATATTATTAAGCATAATAAACAGGGGAGCTGGATCAGACACTGAGCCTGCTTATTCCACTAGGAAGCTACAACTTCACATACTCCCTAGGGGACTTAGTCCCCAAAAAGGGGCAGGAAGGATTATTATCAAGGGAGGAATAAACAGTAAAAAGGAAATATCTCTTCTGAGAGTATGCCTAGTCGAAGCCAAGATGGAGACCAAAGAGGCCTCTCTGTTGAGCCTGGGGAAAGGATCAGATTAGATAAGGAACACAGAACCCCAGAAGATCTAGGAAATTAATTGGTTAGGGGGAGGATCCAGTACCAATCTCAAAAAGCTCAAATAGTTAATTGATTAGTTTAAAGGGCACCAAGGTAATATAACCCAACCTTAACAAAGCTCTCTCTCTCGCTCCATAACATGTGCTCACCCTGTCTGCTCGGGCGTTCTGTCTCCATAGGCATGTGGGCCCACAAAGACAACAAGGGCCTGGGCACAGTGCCTGCTGCAAACAGACTAAGCTAGCTTCTGGGACAGAGACATGGACTGGACCAATTGCACAAAATGCCTTGACACTGGCCCTATATCTCAGCCTGATGAAGACAAGATTGGGCTTTTTCCATGACGGGACAGGATAGATGAAGATGGGATATCAGGAACCCGGCGGCAGTCTTCTATTCCCACCCAAATAAATGTTACCACACCACAGTCTCCCATGTGTAAGTTCCTGGAGTGCTCTCATTTTAACTCCATGCAAGAACATGATTTCCACCGATAAGACATGCAAAATGCCTGCAGGGATGCCCTGATGGTCAGTGTTGCAGCAGGAAGCAACTGCTTTCAGAAGCCCAGATCCTGTGCTTTACTCTGAAGACTAAAAAGATGTTCGCTAAGAAATGCCTTCAGGTGCAAAGTGATGAATGACTGCCTCCAAGTCTCAAGAAAACATTTTTCTCTAATCAAATGACTGTTAGATACAGTAGAACATCAGTTCTCAAACTTAATTCATTCCAGAAGGCTATTTAAGAAGTGATTTGTTCAAAAACTGAATCATTTTACCCATTAGAAATAGTGCAAATTGAATTAATTCCCTCCAGACCCCCAGATTTGAACCATCCCTCTCTGAACCATTCTTATATATTGTACATGTCTAATGTACTGTTTAATCTATAAATATTTCTTTTCTTAAATTTATCAAACTGCCCCCTACCAGCATTTAATGAATCACTGTCAGCACTCATTCCAGGGGTGTCTTTCAGAAGGGCAGTATGCAGCATCCTTGCTTTTTCTCATGTCACTGCCTTCAAAATGCTGTCAACGGCTAACTGCTTTTCATTTATCCAAATCAACAACAGTTTTTCTACCTCTTCAATTGCCTGTGATCATTGTTTCGTTCACACCCTTAGCAACATCAGTACTTTTTTTTTAATTAAAAAATTATTTTTATTGATTTATTTTTAGAGAGAAAGGGAGGAAGAAGGAAAGATAGAAACATTGATGAGAGAGAACATTGATTGGCCACCTCCTGCATGCCCCCAACTGCAAATTGGGCCCACAACCTGGACATGTAACCTGACTGGGAATCGAACTGGCGATCGCTTGGTGCATGGGTCAATGTACAACCACTGAGCCACACCAGCCAGGCTCTAAATGATGCACAAGATCAAATGAATTTAATACAAAAAATGAAACTAGATCATCAACTTACACCATACACAAAAATAAACTCAAAATGGATAAAAGACTTAAATGTGACCCATGAATCCATAAAAATTCTAGAAGAAGATGTAAGCAACAAAATTTCAGACATATGCAGCAGAATTTTTAATGATACATCACCTAAGGCAACAGAAACAGAAAAAAAATGAACAAATGAAAAAAATGAAGCTTCTACACAGCAAAAGAAACAATCATCAAAATGGAAAGGCAACCCACTGTATGGGAGAGCATCATTGCCAATGATACATCAGATAAGGGGTTAATTTCCAAAATATATAGAGTGCTCATACAACTCAACAAATAGAAGACAAAGAACCCAATTAAAAAATAGGCAGAGGAACTAAATAGACACCTCTTCAAATGGGACATACAAATGGCCAAGAAACATATAAAGAAATGCTCAACATCACTAATTATCAGAGAGATGCAAATTAAAACAACAATGAGGTATCACCTCACACCTGTCAGAATGGCCGCCATCAACAAATCATCAAACAACAAGTGTTGGCTAGGGTGTAGAGAAAAGGACAATCTAGTACACTGCTGGTGGGAATGCAGACTGGTGCAGCCACTATGGAAAACCTTATGGTGTTACCTCAAAAAATTAAAAATTGAACTTCCATTTGACCCAGTGATCCCATTTCTAGGAATATATCCTAAGAAGCCTGAAACTCCAATCAGAAGGAATATATGTACCCCCACGTTCATAGCAGCATTATTTATAATAGCTAAGATCTGGAAACAGCCCAAGTGTCCATCAGTAGATGAATAGATAAAAATGCTGTGGTACATATACACAATGGAGTACTATGCAGCTGTAAGAAAGAAAGATCTCTTATATCTTGAGAAGACATGGAAGGACCTGGTAAGTATTATCCTAAGCAAAACAAGCCAAGCAGAAAAAGACAAATACCACATGATCTCTCTTATTTGTGGAATATAATGAACATAACAGTCTGAGGAATAGGGTAGACTCAGAGACTTGGAAGTAGGGTACAGACTGACAACCCTCAGAAGAGGTGGTGGTGGGGGGAAGGAAGAGATAAACCACAGAACTTATATGCATGTATGCATAACCAATGGACATGGACAACAAGGCCTGGTTCTGGGTGGGGGGAATGGAGAGGAGGGTGTCAATGGGGTTAAAAAAGAGAATCCCCTAAATGGGGGTGGGGTGGAGAAGAGATAAACCACAAAACTTATATGCATGTATGCATGAACAGTGGACATGGACAACAAACTGGGGAAAAGGCAGGGAGGGAGGGGGAGGGGGGAATCAGTGAGGGGAAAAAGAGAAACATCTGTAACAAAAATAAAATTAAAAAAAAAAAAAGGAGGCAAACATATCTAACATTTGTCAGCTTCAAGATACTGGGTTGGTGAAACGAGTCTGACAGTTAGATCATTTGAATAGGGAGCCCCTTCTATACCAGATGTCAAACACTAAAATAGAAGCCCACACACGTGCCCCTTTATTTGTTCCACAGTGAAGAAGATTAGGAACATGAGTGAGAAAGATAAGTTTCCATTTCCTTTATTATAACTGCAAGTTAGCTTTAAGTCCCATTACCTTGGGCCCGATGGTTCCTAGAGCAGTGTCAGCATCACCTTGTATGTGGTTAAAAATGCAAATTCTTGGGCCTCACCCCAGATCCACTGAAACAGAAACTCTGGGGGGAGGACTCAGCCATCTGTGTTTTACCAAATCTTCCAGGTTTTATGCCCACTCAAACTTGAGATGCACTTATCCAACCAGTGACATCATGTCCTCTCTGTCCCAGGAACTCCTGACATCGACAATAAAAGAGAGTAGCTCCCCGCCTCTGGTAGACCAACGGCATCACCATAGCAAAACGGATGCTCTCGGTGGATCTCAGACATTCACCAGGAGAATATCCTGTCTTAATAAATGGAAGAATTTGCATGTAAAAAAAGGAATTTAATAGATATCTACAGAGAATTATACCCCAAAACTTCAGAATTCACTTTCTTCTCAAGTGCATAAGTTATTCTCAAAAATAGACCATATGATAAGACACAAACTAAGTCTCTACAAGTTCTAGAAGATTAAAATCATGTCAAGCGTCTTCTCGGATCACGATGGCATGAAGCTAGAAATCAATTATAACAAAAACACACAAAAATATTCAAACATATGGAGGCTAAGAAGCATGTCACTAAAAAATAAATGAGTTACAAAGAAGATCCAGGAAGAAATTAGAAACTTTCTGAAAAACATTGAAAATGAACACACAAAAACACAAAATCTATAGGATGCAGCGAAAGCAGTTCTGAGAGGGAAGTTTATAGCACTACAGGCCTACCTCAAGAAACAAGAAAAATTTCTAATATACTATCTAACCTCACAACTTAAAGAACTAGAAAGTAAGTAAAAAGAAAAACCCAGAACAAGTAGAAGAAAAAAAAGTGAAGGTCAGAGCAGAAACAAATGACATAGAAACTAAAAACCAATTCAAAAATCAATGAAACAGAGAGCTGATTCTTTGAAATATAAAAAAGATTGATGGACTCTTAGCCAGACTCACCAAGAAACAATGAGAGAGGACAAAATTAGAAACAAAAGAGAAGTAATAACTGACAACACAGATATACAAAGGATCATTAAAACATACTATGCCAACAAATTGGACAATCTAGGAAAAAAGGACAAATTTCTAGACACACATGGTCTCCCAAAATTGAACCAGAAAGAGATAGAAAACTTGAACAGACCAATAACAACTAAGGAAATTGAAGAGGTAATCAAGAGACTCACAGCAAACAAAAGCCCACACCCGGAGGGCTTCATGGGGGAGTTTTACTGAACATTCAAAGAAGATCTAATACCCATGCTCCTCAAACTATTCCAAAAAGTCCAAGAAGAAGGAACACTTCAAAACTCATTTTATGAAGCCAGCATAATCCTAATTCCAAAACCAGATAAAGACACTATAAAAAAAAAAAAAAAAAAAAAAGGGCAGCGCGCGGGCGGTGGCGAAGAGACGCCAAGCGGGTCGAGTGCGGCCAAGCAAAGCCGAAGCCGGGCCGGGTCTGGACGGGCCGAGATGCCCTATAAACTGAAAAAAGAGAAGGAGCCCCCCAAGCTTGCCAAAGGCACGGCCAAGCCCAGCAGCTCGGGCAAGGATGGTGGAGGCGAGAGTGTTGAGGAGGCCCAGTCCCAGCCGCAGCCCCAGCCCCAGCCCCAGCCGCAGCCCCAGTCTCAGCCACCATCATCCAACAAGCGTCCCAGCAACAGCACACCATCCCCTACGCAGCTCAGCAAAATCAAGTACTCAGGAGGCCCCCAGATTGTCAAGAAAGAGCGACGGCAAAGCTCTTCCCGCTTCAATCTCAGCAAGAACCGGGAGCTGCAGAAGCTTCCTGCCCTGAAAGATTCGCCAACCCAGGAGTGGGAGGAGCTGTTTATCCAGAAGCTACGCCAGTGCTGTGTCCTCTTTGACTTTGTGCCGGACCCACTCAGTGACCTCAAATTCAAGGAGGTGAAGCGGGCAGGACTCAATGAAATGGTGGAGTACATCACCCACCGCCGCGATGTTGTCACCGAGGCCATTTACCCTGAAGCTGTTACCATGTTTTCAGTGAACCTCTTCCGGACACTGCCACCTTCATCAAATCCCACTGGGGCTGTTTGACCCAGAGGAAGACGAGCCCACCCTGGAAGCTGCCTGGCCACATTTCCAGCTCGTGTACGAGTTTTTCTTACGTTTCCTTGAGTCTCCTGATTTCCAGCCAAACATAGCCAAGAAGTACATTGACCAGAAGTTTGTCCTTGCTCTCCTGGACCTGTTTGACAGTGAGGATCCTCGAGAGTGGGACTTCCTCAAGACCATCTTGCATTGAATCTATGGCAAATTTTTGGGGCTCCGGGCTTATATCCGTAGGCAGATTAACCACATCTTCTACAGGTTCATCAATGAGACGGAGCATCACAACGGGATTGCCGAGCTCCTGGAGATCCTGGGCAGCATCATCAATGGCTTTGCCTCGTCCCTTAAGGAAGAGCACAAGATGTTCCTTATCCGTGTCCTGCTTCCCCTTCACAAGGTCAAGTCCCTGAGTGTCTACCACCCTCAGCTGGCATACTGTGTGGTGCAATTCCTGGAGAAGGAGAGCAGCCTCACGGAGCCGGTGATTATGGGACTTCTCAAGTTCTGGCCAAAGACCCACAGCCCCAAGGAGGTGATGTTCCTGAACGAGCTGGAGGAAATTCTGGACGTCATCGAACCTTCAGAGTTCAGCAAAGTGATGGAACCACTCTTCCGCCAGCTTGCCAAGTGTGTCTCCAGCCCCCATTTCCAGGTGGCAGAGCGAGCTCTCTATTACTGGAACAATGAGTACATCATGAGCCTGATAAGTGATAATGCTGCCCGAGTTCTCCCCATCATGTTCCCTGCACTCTACAGGAACTCCAAGAGCCACTGGAACAAGACAATCCATGGACTGATCTACAATGCCCTGAGGCTGTTTATGGAGATGAATCAGAAGCTGTTTGATGACTGTACACAACAATACAAGGCAGAGAAGCAGAAGGGCCGGTTCCGAATGAAGGAGAGAGAAGAGATGTGGCAAAAGATCGAGGAGCTGGCCCGACTTAATCCCCAGTATCCCATGTTCCGAGCTCCACCACCACTGCCCCCTGTGTACTCGATGGAGACAGAGACCCCCACGGCAGAGGGCATCCAGCTTCTGAAGAAGACAGTGGAGACAGAGGCCGTGCAGATGCTAAAGGACATCAAGAAGGAGAAAGTGCTGCTTCGGAGGAAGTCAGAGCTACCCCAGGATGTGTACACCATTAAGGCGCTAGAGGCTCACAGGCGGGCGGAAGAATTCTTAACTGCCAGCCAGGAGGCTCTCTGATGCGGCTCACCTTCCTTCCACAGGGCCACGCCCTGGGACACTACCCTAGCCCTCCACCCTCTGCTCCCCACTGGCTGACTTGGGGCAAGGCAGTGCCTCTCTAGCTACTCTAGGGAGGGTGATGCAGCACTTGAAGCAGGGACGCCCACAGAGTGTTCCCTCTTCTCCCCAAAATGTGTTCGTGCCTCCTGGTGGCTAGTACAGACAGGCTGAGCTCAACTGGGGATGCCTATCCCCCTCCTACTCCTAACCCCACAGCTACCTGAGGCTGCTCTGAGAAATACACACAGGAATACTATGCTCCTCTCCTCTTCCCTTCATCCTCATTTGAACTCCAGGGGTCTCTCCTCCTCTCCCTCCCCTGCAACGGCACACAGGGAGCAGCTGGAGATTATTCTCACCAAAGCTATGTCAAGCCCCATTGACCCCTGAAGTCAGTAGCTGGAGGGGTGCCAACACCCAACAGCACAATGAGGCCCCTACTCCAGCAGTGTACGGGCTGAGGGGGCTGTATTATTTCCTCTTACCCCCTGCCTGACCAAGACCATGAGGGAGCTCAAAAGGAGAATAGCATAGGCTATGGACAACAGGTAATGAATAAAGGGTCCAGATGGATCAAGAGAAAGGGATGAATGAACACCCTACCCTGTGCCCCCTCTGGTGAGCAGCAGCCCTGGGATCACAGACATGGAAGGGACCAGCTGGGGCTGACTGCTTTCCTGTGCTGTTGGTTCCCAAATCTGAGGAAGGAAGCAGGGAGCAGTGTCTTAAGCATGGCTCCCCCCAACACCTATTTATCCTATTTATTTCCTTCTTTGTGCTAATGCTGGACAGGCCCTCACTTGTCCCTTTCAGGCACCATGGAGGGGCAAGGGGCTGAGGAGAGCCAGACCCGGGTTCCAGGGGCACAGGCAATGCAGCTTTTGGCTGTGTACATAGGGTGCTTTATTCTCCAGAATGATACAAGCTGCGGTGGGTTGGGCTTGGGCCGATGTCCCCATATGTACAGAACTGAATAAAGTGGGTCTCTGAGAAAAAAAACAAAAACAAAAAACTACAGGCCAATATCCCTGATGAACATAGATGTCATAATTCTTAACAGAATATTAGCATATCAGATCCAGCAATACATCAAAAAAATTATTCACCATGACCAAGTAGGATTCATCCCAGGGATGCAAGGCTGATACAATATTCACAAATCAATAAATGTGATACACCACATAAACAAAATGAAAGATAAAAACCATATGATTATATCAATAGACACTGAAAAAGCATTTGACAAAATCCAGCACCCATTTCTGAAAAAAATACTCAGCAATGTGAGAATAAAGGGATCATCTCTCGACAAAATGAAGACCATATATGAATAACCTACAGGCAGTATCATATTCAATGGGCAAAATTTAAAAACATTTCCCTTAAGAACAGGAACAAGACAGGGATGCCCACTTTCACCACTCTTATTAAAGACAGTACTGGAAGTCTTAGTCACAGCAATTAGACAAGAAGGAAAAATAACAGGGATCTAAATTGGAAAGGATGAATGTCATTACTTATAGATGACATGATATTGTACATAGAAAACCCTAAAGACTCCATCAAAAGTTGACTAAAGCTAATAAATTAATTGAGCAGGGTAGCAGGATACAAAATTCACATCAAAAAATCAATGGCATTCATATACACCAACAATGAACTCACAGAAAGAGAAATTAAAATAAAATCTCATTTACTACTGTAGCAAAAATACTAAGATACCAAGGAATAAACTTAACCAAAGAAGTAAAGGATCTATTTGCCAAAAATGACGGGACATTGAAAAAAGAAATAGAGGAAGATATTAAAAAGTGAAAGCATATACCTTGCTCATGGATTGGAATAATTAACATTATTAAAATGTCCATACTACCCAAAACAATCTACATATTCAATGCAATACCCATTAAAATAACAATGACATATTTCATGGAACTAGAACAAATACTCCAAAAGTTTATATGGAACCAAAAAAGACCCCATATAGCCACAGTAATCTTGAAAAAGAAGGACAAAGTTAGGAGGGATCACAATACCAGATATCAGGTTATACTACAAAGCCACTATAATCAAAACAGCCTAGTACTGGCACAAGAATAGGCAGATAGATCAATGGAACAGAACAGAGAACCCAAAATATTGACCCAAGACATTATGCTCAGTTAATATTTGACAAAGGTGATAAGAGCATACAATGGACTAAAGACAGCCTGTTTAATAAATGGTGTTGGGAAAATTGGACAGCTACATGCAAAAAAATGAAGCTAGACCACCAACTTACACCATACACAAGAATAAACTCAAAATACATAAAAGACTTATATGTGACTCATGAATCCATAAAAATCCTAGAAGAAAATGTAGGCAACAAAATTTCAAACATCACATGCAGCAGAATTTTTACTGATACAATGCCTAAGGCTAGAGAAACAAAGGAAAAAATTAAAGATGGGACTACATCAAACTAAAAAACTGCTGCACAGCAAAAGATGCAAGCATCAAAATGGAAAAGGAGAGCATAATTGCCAATGATACATCAGATAAGGGGTTAATTTTCAAATTATATTGAGTACTCATACAACTCAACAAAAGGAAGACAAACAATCCAATTAGAAAATGGGCAGTGGATCTAAATAGACACCTCTCTATCCAGGACATAAAATGGCCAAGAGACATATAAAAAAGTGCTCAACATCACTAATCACCAGAAAGATGCAAATTAAAAGGACTACAAGGTATCACCTCACACCTGCCAGAATGACTGCATCAACAAATCATCAAACAACAAGTGCTGGCTAGGGTGTGGAAAAAAGGGAACTCTAGTACACTGCTGGTGAGAATGCAAACTAGTGCGGCCACTATGGAAAACAATATGGTGTTTCCTCAAAAAAATTAAAAATTGAACCGCCATTTGACACAGTGATCCCACTTCTAAAAATATATCCTAAGAAGCCTGAAACACCAATCAGAAAGAATATATGTACCCCTATGTTCACAGAAGCACTATTTACAATCGCTAAGATCTGGAAACAGCCCAAGTGTTCATTAGTAGATGAGTAGATAAATAAGCTGTGGTGCATATACCCAATGGAACACTATGCAGCTGTAAGAAAGATAACTTATCCTTTGAGATGGCATGGAGGGACCTGTAGTCTATTTTGCTAAGTGAAATAAGCCAATCAGGGAAAGCACATGATCTCACTTATTTATGGGATGTAATGAACAAAATAAGCTGAAGAACAAAACAGACCCAGAGATACAGTAGTAGGTTACAGACTGACAAACCTCAGAAGAGGGTGAGGGGATAGAAGGAAGAGATAAACCAAAGAACTTATATACATGTATGCGTAACCAATGAACATAGACAACAATGCTGGGGGGGGGGTGCAAATCGGGAATTGGGTGTCAATGATGGGTAAAAGAGAAACATGTGTAACAAAAATAAATTAATAAAATAAAATGTTTAAAATGTGACTTACAGAACATTGCAAATGATTAAAAACAAATTTATGTGACAATCTCACGACCTAAGTGAATTATTAATGTCAAAAGTGTTTAACTTTCATGATGTGTCTTGTCTTTAATTTGACACTTTCAAAAGGATACTTTAGGTCCTGGCCAGTATGACTCAGTTGGAGCATTGTCCCATGCACTGAAGGATTACAGATTGAATGCCCAGTCAAGGCACATACCCAGTTTTCGGGTTCCATCCCATCAGAACAAGTACAGAAAGCAACTGATTGAAATTTCTCTCTTACATTGATGTTTCTCTCTCTCTCTCTCTCTCTCTCCCTCTCTCTCCCCCCAACCCCAGGGGGAAAAAAAAAAAAAAAAAGGATACTTTAGCCCCAGCCAGTGTGACTCAGTAGTTGAGTGCCGACCCATGCACCAACCATGCACCAAGAGATTGCTGTGTTGATTCCTGGTCAGAGCACATGCCCGTGTTTTGGGCTGGATCCCCAGTAAGGGGCATGCAGGAAGCAGCCAATTGCCATTTCTCTCTCATCAATGTTTCTATCTCTCTCTTTCCCTCTCCCCTCTCCTCTCTCTAAAAAATCAATAAAAACATTTTTTTAAAAAAGGATACTTTAGACTCTCGCCCATGACCTGGGTCCTCGAGCAGCCAGCCTGCCTTGCTCCCTCCGGGAGTCCTCATTCTCAAGCTCTCCTTTCACACACACACTGCAGGGCCAGTCCCTCTTCTTGGCCCTTCTCCTTTCTCTTGTCCTAGCTAACGCTGCCATCAGGGGAGGATTGCTGTCCCTTCAGCATCATGCAGCCGCCGCCCTGGAAGGTGAAAGTTACACAATAACTGAAAAACATTCAAGTTGAGCAGATGACAAAACTTCAAGCCAAACATCAAGCAGAATGTGATTTGCTTGAAGATATGAGGGCATTCAGTCAGTAGGTTGCTATTGAAAGAGAGTATGCACAGGGTATCCAAAAGTTGGCCAGTCAATATCTGAAGAGAGATTGGCTTGAAATAAAAACTGATGATTGGAATGATTACTGGAGCACGTATCCTGTTTGGAAATCTTTTCTCGAGGAAACAATGCAGGTAGCCCAGTCTCAGATCAATATGTGTGAAAACTATAAAAACTTCATTTCTGAACCTGCAAGGACAGTGAGAAGCTTAAAAGAACAGCAACTAAAAAGGGTGTTGTTCTATTTGTTCTTTTCTTATATGCATTTTAATATTTCAGTGTTACATCTGTAATCTGCAAGATTATATTAAATTACATTTAATACTTAAGCTTTTCTGTTTGTTCACAAATGATTCTGATTTTAACATGTATTTTATTATTACAACATGTACCCTCTAACTATTTTATTTTATTAACTGACAACAGTGAGTGTAATTTTAATCTGTGGACAAGAATGTAAATACTTAACAAATAATAATTATGAACTTAACTCAAGTAAATAGATCTTAGTTTCACAATATTGGTATGGTCAGG